TGCTTACATTTTCGTACTTGCCCCTATTTACCCTTATTTTCCTCGACTTTCTTAAACGTGTACCATTTTGCTTCAAAACACGATGGGACGATAAATATATGTTATCCACGTCAAATAATGTGGATAACATATATTTAAAACACGATGTGGATAACATATTATAGATATGTAGATATAGTGACAACAATTGTAGAAGTAGTGACAGTAGATATAGTGACAACAATTGTAGATATAGTGACAAAAAAATTCTTCACTAGAACTCTATTTTTTTGTAGTGATAAAAATGCTATGTAATTTTTAGAAAAGTATTTACAAAAACTATAATATATATATATATATATATATATATATTGATGTGTCGGCGACCTGGATCTAAGGTAAGCTGGCTGTTGTAATGCTCCTATCGTCAGAGAACAACGTAAGACCTGCAAAACAAAAGGCCGGAAGGGACTCGACGCTCAAGTTAGTAAAGGGGAGGAAGATGATAAATGCTCTGTATATAAGGAGAATGTAGAGAGTTTGCAGTTGTACACAATCATTTTTTTATTGAGGAACGCCTTGGTGCCCAATATTGGGCAACCTGGGTTGCCTAGCTGCCCTGATCAGTCTGCTAGCTCATAACTGCTTCGGGCCGCCCGGAGTTTACTCTTATTTTGACATTATCCACATCATTATTAAATTCATTCTTATCCTGATTAGATCCCCTTTAGTTTACATTAGGTCTCTCATTCGACCTACGTTCCAAGTGCCCACAATTGTCTAAGTACCTATAGGCCGCAGTCCACAAGGTCATTTCCCTGAAGATCCGTAAATAGAATCTCAGGCTGGATAGCCTCGTATAGGTTGCTCTCTCCAGTGGTTTAGGTTTTTCCTACTGTGTTAGGTTGCCTCCTTATGACTTAGGTTGACTCGTGCCTGTTTACCTTATATGTATACTCATCAAGTCGACCAAGCTATCTTTCTCAGCCGATCGACATGTTTTACTTAACACTTGTTCGGTTTGGCCTATGACTATATATCAAAATATAAATTTACTCATTTCCTTGATTGTACAACTACTAGTGGACTACCATAGAGTTTTAACTCAATATAAAATTAATTTCCAACCATATAGTATTTTGATTTGTACTTGATACAAATTAGCTACTAGCATATTTGCTTTGTTACCATACCAAATAATTACTCCACCGACCCACGATAACTACAATAGGCACGCCCACAGAATAGTAAATGCCTCCACACGCCACTGCAAACGTAATATTTCCCCTTTCTTTTTTTTTTTCTTTTTTCTTTTTATTAATATTATATCATTGCCGCGTAGGATTCCTTCCGCTTGGAACCACAAGAAAATCTGTTCATTTTTTTTCCAAACCAGAAAATCTCTCTCTCTCTCTCTCTCTCTCTCTCTCGCGATTACCCTTTTCGATTTCTGCTTACTCACAGTGTTCTTCGATTCGTATAGTCGGGAAGTTGCTTTAGAAGATCATAATCAAGCAAGTATGGTGGCAGAAGCTGAGGTTGTTTGTCGACCGGCCGTCGCCGTTCAGTACATCTGCGTTCCGTCTCCGCTGTCGCCGGAGGCGGAGTCGAAGTTCTTCGACATCTCCCCGGAGGTGCCTGCCTCCTCACCAATCGCGATCGACCTCTCACGCGTCGATTCGGTTAGTAATCTTTTAGTTTTCTTAATCCCGACCTAATTCAATTTTCGTGTTTTTCGGGATGATTGGTTGTTTATTTGGGCTGGCTTCTGGGATATGGTTTTTTCCTTTTGTTACTTTGTTCGTAAGTCGGTTCGTCATTTGGGTGTTTGTTTTTCATGGGAGTTCCTGTAGTTTCTTGTTCTGTGTTGCGAGCCCTAATTCGGCGAGATTAGGGTTTATTTTCGTTGTTTCCGTTCTGATTCATCTTTCCTGTAGCTACTTTGTGATGGGTTTCTAACTTTCCTTGGTTTTATTGATAAGGATTTACTTTGGCAAGTAATTAGAATTTAATTTTTGGATCCCATTTTCTGTTGGAAGAAGACAGAATGTGGGTTTTCTTGATTGTGCAGCGATGCCTTAGTGATTCTGAAACTGTCTATATAGCCTTAATGATAGACGAACTATCAATATAGTTTAGAAACTTATTAGTTGAACCAATAGTCCCATGTGTTCTACACTGACTAATAAAACAAGATATGCTGCTGCATATTTCTTGAGAACCTTCAAGTCATCAACCAAATGTTTGGTTTTGTACCATCTACTATGACCCAATTTAACTTCTTGGTGTTCTTTTCAACGATTATGCTCTTTCGTCCTAACGAGACCCTTTTCTCCATTCATCAGGCTCTGAGCTGCTCGACCAGCACACAGGCCTTGAGGTCATTTGAGACTCCAGCCCGAAACTCCGCCTTGAAAATCCGATCGGGCAGCCACACGGACATGGGGCCCCGCAGATCGAATGAGGACCAGCACATCTGTATCGACAACCTGCCTGCCCACCTGGGCCCATCCCTCCCCAGCTGGTCTGAGCCCGCCTCCTTCTATGCAGTGTTCGATGGCCACGGCGGGCCTGCAGCGGCCCTCTACATGAGAAACAACGCCACCCGATTGTTCTTTGAGGAGGCCCAGTTACCCCAGGCCCTATCCACTGAAGATATTGACGAAAAAAGACGGTTCTTACAAGATCTCGAGACCTCCCACCGCCACTCATTCCTGGCCGCTGATCGAGCCCTGGCGGACGAGACCAGCCCCGTGGACCCGTACTGTGGGACCACAGCCCTCACGGCTCTTGTCCTCGGGCATAACCTATTCATAGCAAATGTAGGGGACTGCCGGGCCGTTCTGTGCCGGAATGGAAATGCTGTCCAGCTGTCGCGTGACCACAGGCCTTCTTGTAGGATCGAGCGAAAGCGGGTTGAGGATTTGGGTGGGAAGATTGAATATGGGTACTTGAATGGAGACCTGGCTGTGACAAGGGCCCTTGGGGACTGGTACATGAAGCTCCCATTTGGGTCGGCCTCACCCCTGACTGCCGAGCCTGAGTTCGGGTTGACTTTGTTGACTGAGGATGACGAGTTTCTAATCATTGGGTGTGACGGGATTTGGGACGTGATGTCGAACCAAGAAGCGGTCTGTGTGGTGAGGGACGAGCTCGCGCGTTGCCAGGACCCGCACCAGTGCGCACGGGAGCTCGTGAACCAGGCGTTGATGCGGGACTCGTGCGATAATGTGACAGCTGTCGTCGTTTGTTTCTCGTCTCCAAACTCGTCCCATGGTTCGACTTGTTCGCGGAGGTCGAGGTTTAGGTTCTGCATGTCCGAGGAGGCGCGGAGCAAGCTGAGGAGCTTACTGGAATGTGACAGCAACTGAATGGAAGTTTAACTTTGGGAACATCAATGATATATAGACTTTCTCTGTGTTCATGAACTTGGATTTTAGAAACTGATTGAGAAGAAACTGGTTGTGGTATTCTTTGTGTAGATATTATTTTCAGTGGTTGATTTTTTAGCCATCTGTATTGAGGTTGCTTCAGATTGTGTAAGCTGATGAGAAAAAGGCAGCCAGCAATTTTGTTGTGTGATGATGGATTTAAATTTATGGCCGTAGCAGGTGATTGATTGTATGATAGCCAACCATAAATTTTGATTGATCAATTTTGATTAGTTTTCCCGAGTTTGTTCTGTTTGTGTTATTTCTTGTGCTTTTTTGGGCAAATAGATTTCTTTGGTGCAAAGAAGTTGGATCCTTTTAGCTGTTTTATCTGGGAAAAAGCTACAAGTACATAATAAATATACATAGAGATGCACATAACACTCAGATTGAGTGGGGTCTAATTGATTTTTTATTTTTAGTGGGTCCCACTCGATGTGAGTGTTATGTACACCTATATGTACAATATTATGTACTTATAGCATGGCTCATCTATCTGTCATCACACACTCACACTTACGCGTATAGGTGTGTGTTGATCCAACAATTAAAACTTCGTAAAAATGTGTGTTGATCCAAACATACACTCGTATACTCATATAGATGCGTGTTGATCCAATAATTAAAACTTCGTATGGACAAGTAGGACGAAATTTATCACAAAAATCTGTCCACTTTTGTAGTTTTTTCAAACTTGATCAAAGAACAATAGTAATATGTTGATAAAATCTTAGAGATGGTGGAGGCTGGCTAGTCATCCACTGGGGAGCTGAAGCTGTTTTGGACCAAACATGTAATGTAAGGTGGATGATACCACCACGTTTTTTGGTCTTTGCATATAGATATTATGTGTGGTTATGGTTAGATTGTTGATATTCTTCAACAATTGGGATATTTGTAAATTACTTTATTCTAGTTGTGTGAATTTGTGGAAGGCATTGGTTCCGGCTGATATTTGTAATATTTTTGAGTTTTTTGTTTACTATAATTGTGTGGTAATATGTAGGATTAGGTGAGATAGTACATTGAAATTTAATCAGTTGTTATGTTTCAATTGTTAAGTTAATACTTGGGTACACATACTCTAGGAATAAATACAAGTATGGATTGTCGGAAACAGATTTGTTATGGAGTCATCGAATGACTCGGCTTATAGAGTCATCGACACTTATTCACCAATAGTGTATTGACACGTGTCCTACAATAAATATAATCTGGACATGTGTCAATATATTAAGTGGTGGATGACTCTATAAAAAAATTATCTGATGGCTCCATAGAGTTTTTGTTGTCCGAAAATATTTATGTATTTTTTTATTTTTTGTTTTTATAAAAATTATGATGTGATTTAATCGTTACCAAAGTTGTTAAAATCAAATCTGATTGTTTGGTTGGATTTTTTTTCCCAATATCAAGCAAGCCATAAAAAGAATTACCATTTAATAAAAATAGTAACAAATAAATAGGAAAGAATTTAATGTAACCTATTTATAGTAATTTTTTTTTTTTTTTTTTTTTTATTTTTAAAAATCATACAACCAAGCCGATATTTTGCAATCTCCAGCCGCCGCTCATATGCCAACAATTAGTTGGTTAATTATTACTTTAGGATTATATTGTTATAGTGTTAAACTCACCCCTCCAACACCTGACACCTTGATAGATGTTGAAGGTAAATAATTTTGAATATTATGATAATATTTTTAACTTTTCATTTATGTATCTGTTATTTTATGCAAAATGCAAATAATTGTATTATTATTTGATTTAAAAATTCCAGCTAAGATCTATTAACTGTACATTTTTCATTTCTTTTTCATAGAAACAACGAAGAACATTAAATAAATCTCAGTCTCTATATTTATAAAATCTCAATCTAAAAAGTAATAAAAATTTTAGAATATCAGTTTTTATATTTGTACTTTAAAAAAAAAATATTGAATGTTATTCTTTAAACTAGTAATCCCCCGTGCGATGCACGGGAAAAATTATAATTTATGTGTTTTTTTAAGGTAATTTTGTATATAGCCATAATAAAATCGAAAAGACATGGCTAATAATAATAATTATAATATAATAATAATAATAATAATAATCACTGCAATAATATTTGTTTAATTGGATATAAAAAAAAAATCATATGTACATATTATTGTACATACGAGTGTACATAGCACTCATATTGAGTGAGACCCACCAAAAATAAAAAATCAAGTAGACCTCATTCCATATGAGTATTATGTACACCAATATGTACATTTATTATATACTTGTAGCATTTCCCATAAAATATATCAAGTATTGGACTATGTTCCATAACATCGACACTAATTAAACAAACATTATGCCATAAGTCTGGATTTTCAGGGTTTTCATTTCATTTTTTTCTCTCCTCCCCCGACCAATTCTCTATATCGTGTCGGTCGTCTCTTTATTTTTGTTTTTATTTTTATTTTTATTTTTTTACCTGCAGAAAATGAACGTTTCTAGACAAATCGATCACATATATTGTGATTCTTACATTTATGTTTAGATTAATTTAAAATAATAATTTGAAAACATTGTGTTTTGATTATAAGATAAGTCCAAATGATTTAAAAAATAAATTAATTAGTTAAGTCATTAAAATTTTCTATCCGTGTAGAAAGATGACAAATTAGTACACGTGTGTCATAATTAAACGTCATTTTAAGTTTTTTGAGTGACTTCAAATTGTGATTTGATGATAAGATAAGTTAAAATGATTTGGATAATTAATTTATTGATTTAGTTGTTTAGATTTTATAACATGCTTTAACTTGCCCATTACACGTGTTTCCTCATTAACTCAATTTTTATTATTACTATAGCATGATAAACTATTTATTATATTATTTAATGTCAAATATTAAGGACTCTTATAGTAGTTATATTTTTTAAACTTGCTTCGATTATGATAATTGAGGTAATGTACATGTCTTGGTTTAAATTATGATAATATAAGTGTACATGAACTATATTGTAAAATTATTGGTTTATTTGTTTAGAAGTTTTATTAGTGTGGAAACTTTATGATAAGATTGGTGTGGAATTTTCATAAATCAATTCTAATGTGGTCCTAAAATATTTGTTTTTCTGTTACAGTTTCCATCAATTGTTGGATTGACTCAAATATCAATTTTTTAATTAATTTATGTTTAAGTTCGATTATTATGATTCTTACCCTTATCGTTAAAAATTTGAAAAGCCCTATTTTTCAGTTTTAGTAGATTCTTATGGTTTGTTTTAAATAGTATATACATAGAAAGTCAATTGATTTATTTATTTGGTCAAATTTTCAAAAAATGAATTTAACAACCTATATATATATAGATATAGATTAGATATAGATATATATTATTCCAATAGTTTAAAATTTGTGTTGAATATATTTATGTGCATAAAAGATACTTTTTATCATAACCATTATAATATTTTATTGTTAAATTATTTCAATAGTTTAAGATTTGTGTCGAATATATTTAGGAGTATAATTCATTGTCAATAGTTCTAAAATCGTCCAATATATAGCACGAGATGTGATCGAATCAAATCAGTTCCAAATGAAACCGATTTTTTAGTATAAACCACTCTTTTTAAAAAATAAAAAATAAATTAACAACAGATAAGTCTTATGGGTGAACAAATTTTATCATTCCATAATATCAGGAATGTTACGGATGGCAATATTAAATAAAATATTGAATGTATCATATGTGATTATCACTTTCTTTTATGTGTATTTATAAAATAAAAAATGTGACTATTGAATGATTCGTGATTTACGTATGATTCTTGTTAACATATTTATCATTCCATATTGTACGGAATTAATCGAATGTCAATAAAAAATGAATGATTTATCTTACAAACAAATTAACAAAAAAATCTCATCGAGAATTTGAACAGAAAACGCAATTTCTGAATTTATTAACAAATTTCTATTTTAAGATTACTTGGGTTGTCTCTTTACATTTTAATAAATAAAAATAAATTCCTAAAACATAGCAAGTAAATAGGAAAATTCTAACAATATCTCTTTTTTTAACTACATTTATGTTGAGTATATTTTTGGGCATGTGGTAACCGAGCTACCCGACTCGGGTCGTTCTCAAAGGAAGGCTATTCGGAGCTTCGTTCACTACCTAGTCGCCAAAATCACACAACCGAAAATGTCCTAAACATGCTAATCGCTTGAATTGAGGGTTGATTTAAGCTAAGCTAATCTACGAAATTGAAATCGAAAGCAAGTAAAGCACGCAAGAAGATTAGAGAGATCAAGGGGAAAAGAGAGATTTTGGTTCACCGGAGTCATCATGATCAAAAGCACGCAAAAATCCAACCATTGCCATGTTCGCTAAAAACCCTAGGAAGCCAAATCAAACTCTAGCATGAATCGAGCAAGAATTCAACTCCTATCACACTTAGTCAAACATTCATGATCCAAAGCAACAATCTTTTCTTCCTAAATCACAAGCACAATGTCAATTTACCAAAGCGAGAAAGATATACGAGGTAATGGGGCTTAAGACTAAGTTACCCACTCCAACATGCACTCGGGAGAAGAAACGGAATCAAAAGCTTGAAACTTTGCTCAAAACAATGTCGCCGGAAGTTCGCCGGAAAACTTGATTCATAAAGCTCCAAACCGAAATAAAAATAAAAAGAAAAGGAAATAGAGAGGATTTTCCCAACTTGAAAGTTGGGAAAATGAGAGTTGTTCTAAAAAATACAAAGCATAATGTCTTTTTATAGCTACACCACAAATACACACTAAAACACACACATTTAATGATAAAAACTCGCTAGGTAGGGGTAACTCGCGAGTTGGGTCTTGAATTTCGCGAGGTAATTCCGCTGGCTATGGTGGACTCGCGAGCTGGAGGTTTTCGCGGAATGGATTTGGCGTCCGCGGATTTTGA